TTAAGCATTTTACATGCAAGGTTCGTCTATCGCTTCCGAACATGCTTCGAATATCACCGAATGTTCGAGAATAGCGTAACCTATTGTACGAAGGTGTTAAGAGCTAACAGAACCAATGTTTGTGAACAAACATTGACAAACGATCATGGGGCAAAGCTAAAACAATAGCGTCGTGGCTCCTTCCGTTAGTACCTTCCATGGATAAACTCCATATCAGTCAGACTGTTGTATGGTAGACTCCAACAAGCATTAGTATCAATACATGCTCGAATTTCTCTGTAAGTTGTAGTTATCAATTCGTCTTTATAATATCTGTCCCGTAGTGAAAGACTGAAAGAAGAGAGGTTGATTGCAGAAGAAAAATGTGACAAGCGAATTGAAATTTACACTCAGTCTGTGCAGAAATCACGTAAACGTGCAAGAATTGAGAAAGTGGAAGATGAGGAAGACCAATATGTATCTAGTGTGTTACTGCATGCAGAACAGGTCAAAGTACAGGTATGTTATATGTATTATATCCCTAAATAACATATATACACAATGCAATTTGTATTCACTTGCAAGAGAGATTATTAGTTGCTCTTGCAGTAAACATATTTGTTTGAGGACATATGAATACCAGTATGTACCAATTATTTTGACGTAGTCATGTTTATTTGGATTATAGGAGAGAGACTGTAAAATAACAGAATTGAACACCCTTGTTGCTGCTTTAAAGGCTGATATATCAGAGCTGAAGCAGAGACCGGTAACCAGTTCTGTTGCGACTCAAGCTGTTATCGAACCTCAACCGATGATTGTCTCTCAGTCTGGGTGTGCAAGTGCTAATACCCAAACAGACAGTGGACAAACTGAAGGAGTTTCTGAAGATAGCGTACAGCTTAGTGACATTCAAAAACTGAAGGAGACAATCACATCTCAACAGAAAGAGATCACTGAACTTCAGGAGATGCTAAGTGAAGCCGGGGATACTTTCCATCAACAGAACAATGAGATAGAGAAATCAAAAGATGCTATCACAGAATACGAAGACAAAATGAGAATGCAGGTAGGAATAAAAGTAACTTCCAACACTATGTGCATGCGAGTCAGTGGGGGAAAAGTAAGTGTACCTCAGTTACCTTGCTTTTACTTATGTTAGTAGGCAATCATAATCATGGTAAATATTCAATGACAATGACAATAATTTTATTTCCTTGTATCCATCTGCAGGTAATACATTATCCGCAAAAAAAAAAATATTGTTACAAGAAAAAGGGGACATCACAAAGCACTGCTTATTGATGATGTTCCCTGTTTACACTCACTACATTGGCAATTGCCTTAATGACAACATCCTTTGTCATTGTCGTGTGTTTTTAGCACTGACTGGACACAGTCTGAGGGCTTTTAGATTGGGATCCGTTCATTCGCTGCATTATTTCAGAAGTTCGTGGACTGATTTTCTCCAAACTTGATACATGGTTGATACTTGATGGTATACATATAGCCCACATTTGTTGGCCTGTTGAGATACAAAATGAACATCAAAACTACTTATTTTTGTTTATAACTTGAGAAGTTTATTCAGAATTGGTACAAAGGCAGTATACTTGTATTCTCCCCTTTTTGCCCATTTTGACTTGTATTCATGCAGTTCAGTTAGATCCAAACTTGGTTCACAGACAACAGTGTGCTAGAATATCAACAAAAGCTGATT